TTCAGCTACACCTATGCAAACCTACTGATGTCAATGAGGTTGCATGTGTCACTGAGGGTGTAATTTGAAGACAGTTGGTCTGCATATGTGATACTGACTAGGACAGTTATAATATTTCCCCAACATTTAAAAAAAACCCAAAACACAGTGAATGTTTTTTGTGAAATAAACCATGTGAATCACATACTAGGTGATTCACATAATAAGTATGTTTATTCTCCAATCATCACAAGGTGCATGTGTTGTCTTAAATGAAAAGCTTGCAATTCTGTAGGTAAAACAAATGAACACAATAGAGTCATCACTCCACTGTGTAGTTAAACTTCTTTTTTATTTTGCCTGATATTGATATACTGTTTGCTCATTCAGCACCTATTATGATGTTTCAGCCAAACCAACCAGTAAGTGCTAATACATACTCAATTGATGCTGGCAATTTAAAAAAATTGACAAAATTATTAATTTAGTTCTATTACCTGTGATTTTATTTCCACAGGTTCACACCATCTTGGTACAACAAACTGAGACAATCTCCTTCGCAAACATATTTTTGTTGAAGAAACTGTATCTTCAATTTTAAGTGCTAGAAGAGTAGGAAGGAATTCACATTTAAATTGCAACAGACTGTTTCTACTTCTTCCTGTTCTAGACTCAATCTATAAGCTTTTTATTTGGGATCAGTCATGGTACCTAAATAATGCAAAGGGTCCATAGTTTCTCTGAATAATTTTTCTGTTTTATTTTTGTGTAGTTCTAGTTCTTTGCTGTTAACTAGATCAAGCCAGATTCCCGTGGAGACTGTGACATTAGTGTCATCAAACTGTAATCTGTCAAACCCATCTGAAACCTCCTTCTGTTGCTTTGGAAAGTGTGATGTCTCTCTGCAGAATCCCTGGTGTGAAATTCTGCTTTTTCAGTCAATGCCTTTCTTATTCTCAATGAATATTTATAGGACCACTAAGGCAGCTTAAATTAGTTTGCCTTGGTGCAATATCCACTGCAAAAGCAGCACACTTCAGTCAAGAGCTCAGTTCTCTTGGCAGCAGCTTCCATGGCAAAGCAACACTTCTAATGACTCATGGAAGCTGGATGCAGATGTAGAGAGACAGTTTTCCTGATAATTTTACCAGGGAGGCATCATTGGGAAGCTGAGTCGTCAATCTTCCTTTTTCAGTCAACTAACCATGAGGCTGTTGGTGGCTGCAGAAGGATTTTTGAACTTTCAAAATGTGTTATAGGGCTGATTTAAGTACTGAATATATCAGCAGTGCAGGAGGCTGCACATGGGAAGCTCTCTCATCTTCTCTGTTATTTCCGTTATTTCCGCAAATGATGAAAGACCTCATCCTCAGACTTTTCTTTGCATTCTTGGATGGCATCTACAGCAACTGGGACACACCACTTTGCCGTTTTCTTTTCAAATTGTAGAATCAATGGCAGGAAGCAGAAAAGCATTTTTCCCTGTATTGATGGTTGTAGCCATTATCAGATCATTTCTCAAGTTCATCTAACCATCGTGCATGAATATACTGTTGATTCTTTTAGTTTTACCTTTAATTTTTTCTCTGTTTCTCCTCTTGCAGCATCTAGTAGTGGAAGTGCAAGTTTAAATCACCTGGAGGAGTAGTGTAATAATTAATTTGATATAGTTAACCTTTATTTACTGGTGAAGATGCATGAGAATGAAAGAACCCAGCTTGGCTGCTAGAGTTTAGGCTAAATGTGCACAGCTGGTACTTAGGAGAAATGCATCTTTTCACTTGTATATTGGGTATACTTGATATGGAAATCACTGAGATTCCTTTACAAGAGTCATGTTTCAAAGCAGAATAATTCATTTAAATCAAATTTGGTGCTGACCGAAAAGGGCTGGATTTGGCAGTCCCAGCATGGACTGAAGTTTTTATGTTTATGTACTGAACAGGTACAGACTGCAGTTACAATACAAGTGCAAGCTTTCTCACACTCCCCCACTAAATATGCATCTGTCCTCTTCTGGGTGCATGACATTTAGGAATGAGGGGGTAGTTTAGTTCATGGTGCTGCTGCTGAGATAGAGGATGGCAGTAATAGTGGAGGTTTTGTGATCTGGATACTTGTCCATGAGTACATGGATTTGCATCTCCAAACAGCAAAAAGATGAAAACCCTTTCAGTCACTGCCAACCTGGGCTGGAACGCAACCAATAACATAGAGGCAAAAGATACTTTATGGCATTTCCAGTTCCCTGAATCATTCAGGAAGTAGTCCCCCTGAAAGTAAAAGTTTAATGCAGACATCTTATTTTCTGTTGTTTAGGGTGTTGTTGGGCCTGTGGGACCGAGTGGACCTTCTGGAATTCCTGGGCCTCTGGTATGGCGTTAAGCAAAACTCACATTACCATTTGCCAATTGCCTCGACTATTTTTCAAATAATAGTCAAACATTGTTTGTTTGTTTTTTAATTTTTAATAGGGTCTTCCAGGGAGTCTGGGGCAGCCTGGAATGAAAGGTGATAAGGTGATCTAAATATTTCCATTCTAATAGAGATATATTACATTTAGACAGTCTTTCTCACATCTGTTTTGCAAAGCACCCCTTTTTCATGTTTTTCCTCTTTTGTTTTCTTTTTATTAAGCTATTGTGTGTGATTCTACAAACACTGCTGGACATAGCGCTGACTACCATGAATAGTGCTGTCAAGCACTGTGTTAGTGATGTTTGCAGGATTGGGTTCTATAGCGATTCACCATGCGCTGTCCTTTGAAAAACCATGTTATAGTTTTAAATACTGAACATTGATTTAAATCTTTCTGCTTTTGTGAGTCTGAAAAATACACCATGTAAGCTGCATATATATGTCTGTTTAAAATAATATGTTATTTAGGGTGAACAAGGCATTGCAGGAGAGCCGGGAGAGCTGGGCTATCCAGGAGACAAGGTAAATTAAGACAGCACCCTTTTGACATATCTTCTGGTCTAATAATCCCAGTGGCCTTTTCTTCTTTTAAATTGCAGCAAGTAATTTACAATCAAATGGAATTCGGCGATATCAGTTGAATACCCCAGCACTATTTTATTTTCTGTACCATTATTTTAATTAATTTCTTTATGAAAATAATGATCAAAGGCATGTAAAATGTATGGGCCAAATTCTGGCTGCCTTGAGTGCACTTATGCATGTCAGAAAATATGCTGTAAGAGGGAGGACAGAGCAGTCTAATTCCCTCCAAAACTCACGGACAGCTTGTTATACAGGTCATTTGCAACAGAAGCCAAGGAGCATCCTGGGGTGGAGCCTACATTTTTATCTGACCCAAAAAACCTGAAAACTGTGGTCAGCAGCCAGGCAAAAATGTGTTATCAGACAGCCCAGGATGCCCTGGAATATAATGAAAATGGTTAATAAACAAGCTTTTCACACCTATTTGAGTAATGGAATCTTTGGTAGGTAATCCATAACTCCTAAACTACCCAAAGGATTGTTTTTATAAAAATTCTAAGCTGATACGTTGTTATTGCAGACAGTACAACTAATTAAAATAGCATAAACTAACTGAATTATTTTGCTGTAACATGAATGTAAGAGTTTCATTCAGATTCACTCAATGGATTTGAAATTTGGTCTGAGTGTTGAGCTGATATTTAATTAATTTTGCACAAGTGGGAAAGCGTAACCAGTTTTTTACTACATGCAATGTTATAAATAATTTTCCACAATAATATTTAATAGCCTTTTTTTCCCTTAAGGGTTCTGTTGGTTTGCCAGGACCAGCAGGAATCAGAGGAAAGCCAGGGCCTCCTGTAGGTTTGAACACTTATTTTGTTTACTCTGGTTACATCAGTATGTGTCATGTGGGTTGATACTTGTTTGTATCATTCAGCCAATCCAAATGCTTTATGGAACAATTCTGATCTCACTAGCATTGGTGTAAATTGGGAGTTAATGCTGTTGGAGTCAAGAGAGTTATATAACTGGTGTAACTGAGACCAGATTCTGGTCCATAGGAGGGCATTTTGCTGCTCAGTCATTAATCTGCTAGTTCAGATTTCCCATGAAGTGTAGAAGGTCACTTGGGTATTTAGGGCTCACTTAATCATCACCATAATAATAAATCACTTACCCCAAAATACAAATAAAGTAAGGCTTGAATTCAGTCTTAGAAGTTCTGCTGGCTTATGATTAAGCCTGTGTGTTTGTCAATTGTTTTTTGACAACTCTGCCATAACACGGCTCCTCCTGCCTTAGAAGACACTGTGACAAGGAAGCCGCGCTGAAGAGGATGTAGTATTGCCAGTCTTTTACCTGCCTTTTTGCACTGCTGATGCTGCAGAATTGCAGTGGCTGGTACTGGACAGCACTTAAACTGGTTTCAGCAGTAGAATAAAGGATATTTTGATTGTAATAATGCAACTGTTGGGTCTTGGAATTCTCCTTACCAAAAATTTGAGACTTTTTTGCTCTTTTTTCCCCATGACCCGACTGACTTTCTGTATAATTAATAGTGGCAAACACCGCCAGCCCACTTAATATGTCACTAGAACTTGTCAGCGGAGTTGGAGCTTTCCTATGCACAGTTTGAATCATGATGATGGTATTGCTATTTAGCACCCATAATGCAGTAGGTAATTTACTGCAATTAAAAAAAAACACCACTTTTCCTTACCTTGTGGAACTCATAATCTAGAGTCTTGGTCTTGCAAAAAACTTATGCACACATGCTTAACTTTATGCAGTGAGGGTAGTCCCATTAAATTTAAAGTTAAGCATGTGTTTATGCCCTTTGCTGAATAACTTAAAATAATCAGATGTTTAAGTACTTTGTTAAATTAAAGTATTGGAAGCAAACACATGCTTAACTTTGCAAACCTCAGTGACATTAAACACATTTATAGGATGAAGGCCCTAAATTTTAGACACACTGCATTCAGCAGCAGCAACAAACAGAGGGAAAGAAATGGGGGAAAGGAGATCAAGATTTAGAAAAATAAGGTCATGCAATTTTAAAAATTTGTGTGTAAATCTTGTATAGCCGAACCACCAAGATATGTAGTTGGACCAGATCCTGCTACCAATGGCAAAACTCCCATTGATTTTAATGGTGCAGGGTTAGTCAAATAAGCCTATTGAAAGTATCTATATGAACTTAGTTTTGTAACCCTCATATTCCCTTTGTGTGTGTATAATACACACACAGGTTTAAGAAATATTTTTTCATTATATGAATACTCACATACATATTTAATTTAGATATAATTCCTGCCACCACTCATTATTAAATATCTATAAATGACTTATGTTTTTATTATTGCAGCTGCAAGAGGGACTCATTAAAAATTCCAGTAATGGATAACTAGACTTAATTAAATAGAGAAAGAAGCTGTATAAAAATTAATCCTATTTAACTGAAAATCCAGCTAAATATTTTATTTGATATGTTGATGTTTGTAGTGCTTTCAAAAATCTAATACAAATCTGCTTCTTGTAAAGCTTTAATTTGCTATCTAAGTTATAATTTTTGGATTTTTATTTTAGGGAAAAATCGGAGATCCGGGACCCCAGGGACCATCTGGTCCTCCTGGGCCTGAGGTAAGAAATTGCTTGAAAGATGTAAATGAAACATTTAATGTTAATTGTGCTTTGAACACAAAACAAAAATTAGAAGGCAAACTTGCGGTTGGTCAGTTCAAAGGTTTAGTCTTAGGGTAAAAAGTGGTTTTCAATCATGTCCTTTTACAAATGGATTAGTTCAGGTTTCTTTATATGATAAGGTGCTATTGGACAATAATTTTAATACACAGGATTAACATACATTGTTCCTTGAATGCTGCTGGATGTGCACCATTCTAATGTGTAGCCATGATCAGTTCTCAGTTGATTCCAGTTGTGCATTGCAGCTAGGATGAAACACGTGCGATTCTTAAATCCATATTTCTATATATGAACTCTGCAGCATGTTTACGTTCAAAAATGTTCACGACTGGCTGTATATTTATGTTTATCTCTTGGGGCAGAGCACATGTAGTTAAGAGGACTGCAAAGTATATACATTGGACAGTCTGGATACTGTATATTGTTAAAATTTTAACTTTGGCATAGCAGTTGATTTAGAACTGCTTCATATTCTGGAAGTTTACATGGAATCCAGCTAAATCTTTGAGATGTTACATCTGGGTGTTTTTGGCATTTGCATCTTGAGTCACGACATGTAGACTGAATGTTTCAGACTACATAGGAAAGCCATGCCATTTTCTGGACAGAAGAAAGCAACAATCAGATTATTTTCTTAACCGGCTAACTTTTTCCAACAGATTTATTCAAAAATCTTTATAATCTTCAATATGTGTGTATATTTGTAAAATATGCCAACTGGCTAATGATGATGTTTATTAAATGATCATTGTCAACTTAAATAACACATTTACAATTGTAAACTGAAAGTGTATTTTAAGAACATTTTAACTTAGTTTTTCATAACAGTACAGAGGCTGCCTTTAAAAGTCAATATTTTCTTTCAGTTTTTACATAACTGCAGCATCTCAGATAGCACTATCTTCTAGCCCTAATATGAGACCTGATCCTGCAAACACTTGTGCATATTAGTAGCTTCATTCACCTGAGCAGTCCCATTGAAGTAAGGGTCAAATATAGGACCCATGAAGGGATGGAGCACACTCAGGCACTCTGTGGAGGTGGCACATGAACAATCTGGTCAATGGTAGGAGCTGTAAGAGGCTCAAGCTTGCACGGTAAGGAGGGAATCTTCAGAGATTTTAGCTACTAAAAGTGATGAGCAAGCAATTTTTCAAAGAATTATAACTAGACTGAATTTGGGCAGATTTACACAGATATGTCAAAATGCACTTCCTTGGCACAAGGTCCCACCCCTACCAATTTCAGCTCCCTGCTTCAAAGCATTGTGAAGGTGGGCTTTTCAAAGAAAAACTCACCAGGACTTTTTAACATGGGCAAAGCAATGTATTTTTCACTAGCCTCATTCTCAGAAACAGCTGAACCGTTTTTGTTGAAATTAAAAAACAAAAAAAACCACCTTAGGCAGACATCTGGCATCTAGGAATGTCAGCCTGGATAGCTAAAATTCAGCAAAGTTATAAACAATTGAAAACGGGATCTTATAATGGGGATATCCGGCAACCTTAACAGGTGGTAGTACCTGTTCTGCCTATAATATATTTAAATTTTTAAATTACTATTAGTGTTGTCCTTTTTAATTTTTAATGCAAAACCTAATATGATAGAACACCTACTGGTATCATATTAGAGAATCACAATAGCACATTATGTGTATCTGTGTTAAAAATAACTCTCTAAAAGTAGCAAAGATATAAGTAGAATTTCAATCATATATTATACGGGGACACAGTCTTCCTCACTTTAATAGTTTATGGGGAAATGATAAGGCTTTAACATTTGCTTCATCAGACCTTTCTATACCATTGGAATTTTGTGTAAATAGATTCCTCAGAAGTTTGATTTTAGTTAAAATATCCTTACTGAAATTGTATAAAAGTCTGCATTTTATACTTGAAGGCTCTTTTACTTCTTTAAAATGAGGTTATCCCTGAAAAGTAACTCTAAAAATTACATTGTGAGGTTCCATGTTGACCATCTCTCTCAATGACTCCAGGACAAACTTGTTGAGTACTTGAGTTTACAAGAAAAAGTTGTTTTTCTAAATACCAGTCCTGCAAAGTGAGCCTAAAATCTGCAAGTTCAGTTAGATTCTTTCTGGTTCATGCTACATCGCCAGTAGTAAAGATTCTATAGACCAAATTCTGCCTTCAGTTACGCCCATGCAAGTCTTGTTTTCAGTGGAGTTGTGCAGATGTGAATACAGATAGAATCTGGCCCTGCATTTGGATTTTTGTTTTTAATCTGTAGATAAGCAAGGTAGAATAAAAACAACCTCCCATAGCTGTTTTGGTTTTGCAGTTTTAAGAGGATTTAAAAGTGGTACAAAGATTGTCCCTTAAGTACAAAGAAATACAGAGGGACCAGATCTGTTGGGGTAGGAATGTGCCATTTTTTACATAGTGATGTTCAAGGAAATCTCACCTGAAAGTGGGGGGAAATGCTAAATTAAGAGACTGCATATTGCAAGAAAATAATCCTTTTTGAACCTGATTGATGTTGTTTAAAGAAGTGAATTGGTTTGTTCAATATAATGTCATTAATAGAGTATGTCATGGATTTGAGTTCGTCTCGTGATAGTAATAGTTCTTTTGATGCAAAAGAATGCATACCTGCATGATATTGTATACCACGTCATGCTCTAGACGCATTGTTAATGGGATTAGTGTCCAAGCAAGCAAGCATTTCCTCTCTGAAAAAATTTAGCATTTTCTGTTGCTTGGGGGATCAGAGCCCTCAGAAGAAAATCTTTGTCTGTCTTGTTATGTAAACAAAACTGTAGAATGACCAAGTGTTTGTCTTTGAAAATTTGACTGAACAAATACCACGTTTAACACTCCAAAGTTATGCATCCCTTAGCCTTTCTTATGCTGGTCAGGTTGACATGAGATAAAATGAGCTTTGTCTGTACAATGAACACTTATAAACATGGTCACCATATGGTGAAATATGAGATGCAAATAAGGGCGGGACAGCTGTATTCCACAATCTTTAGAGGAATGTGAATGCCAAAGGTTCTCTAGTAGAAGGCAAAAAAACAAAACAAAACAAAACAAAAACCCTGCTTCAAAATGAGAATTGTGTTTTATTTTCCCCATCTTATTTTTGTTTTTAAAAGTGACCTGAATTCCCTGGCAAGTTGTTATTTTGATGTAACTAGACCGTAAACATACAGTATGGACAGTAGCAGTGCAGGTTTCCCTGCTATGCCCTGCCAATACATCTCAGGTAGCATTTCTGCTCAAAGCTTCAAAGAAAGCTAGCTGGCAGGTTAAGGAGGAGCGCTTTCACTGCTTCCACTGCATTATTGAAGTGGTCAGACATGTCATGCCCCCTCCCCAAACAGTGTGTCTACACTGCACCTGGGAGGTGTGATTCCCAGTTCTGGCAGACAGATTCGTGCTCGCTCCTCTCAAGTTTGGGCACTCCAAATAGCAGTGTGGACATTGCAGCACAGGCGGTGGCATGAGCTAGCTGCCTGAGCTCAGACCCAAGGAGTTGGGTGGTCTTGGACTCAGGTAGCTAGGCCAAGCTGTCGTCCATGCAGCAACATCCATGCTGCTATTTTTAGCATACCATCTTGAGCAGAGCCAGCATGAATCTGTCTGCCTGCCCTGAGAAACATACCTCCCAGCTGCAGTGTAGACATAGTTTCTAAGAGGTCCTATAAAGACTGGTTCCAGCCCACACTGGTCTCTGCTTTTATTCACAAGCAATGGTTGGTTGAGATTTCTGAACACTTCTATCCTCAAACTCAAACCACAGCTGGGACAGATGTGAGATATAGCAGTTGGGGTGATACAGCCCCACAGGTGCTGGAACTAGATGTGCTGGGGTTGTGGCAGCACCCTCTGGCTTAAAGTGGTTTCCATCATATCCAGGGTTTATGGTTTGGTTCAATGTCTCTCAGCTTCCCCACTATACAAATTGTTCCAGCAACCCTGTACAGTCCCTGATTCCTCTCTCATGTAAACTGTTGTAAATCAGGCAATTCCTCCACTGAAGTCAATATTTATCCTGGTGTATGCAAGAGCAGGAATAGGCCCACTAGGCCTCACACACACACACACACACACACACACACACACACACACACACACACACTTATTTT